CTTATTAGAAATGATTATTCATGCATTGTCTTCTCATTAGAAATGATTATTTATCAAGAGATATTCAAATATATAATAATATATAAGAAAGAGAAACAATTAGTTAAAGCAGACACTGAGTTCTCAGATAGAAGCTTACTTATCAGTTACTCTGATTCTGTAATAAGATCTTATAAAGAGAGTAAGATCTTATAAGAGAATATCAGTGAAAGACCTGAGAGTTCTGACACTCAGATATATGAGATATTTATATAATTACACATTCAATGATTGATAACCATGTCTAATGATAATATGAAAGAACTCTCAAACATAAGTATAGAAGTAATATCACAGTGACTCTGAGTAATGTTGAAATTATAATAATAATAAATAGCTGATATACATGCAACTCAATAACATCAATATAAAGAGATTTAATGATTATTATAACAAGAAACTCAGACAATTTCAATATCTATAGAATTGAATATAAAAGTACTGAAAGAATACTTAGATACTTCTATATATTTCAATACTTCTGATCTCACTTTCTACTCATTATAAAGAATGAAAATGCTTATAAAACTGAGTATAGATAAAGATATCATCAGTTTACTAATCAATCAAGATTGATATATCAATGAACAATTGAAGAATTGCATGAAATAGAAGTTTCATTCATGAATAGAAGTATACAAATCAGTATTATGAACACTTAATAATATTATCAAATATCTTGATATTCTGTTTCAAGACACTGTCATGTAATAGAAAGTATTAAATTGATTATAGAGTACTTAACAGAAAAACACTTCTCTTACAACATTTATTCCTGACTTCAACATTAAAATTCTAGAAGTAGAAGATCAATCTTGAGAGAATTAAATGAAGATTAGTATACTTAAGAAGATATTAACTTTTAAACTCTTACAGACTCTTATAAATGTAGACAAAGATCAGACTTATAAAGACTTCTACACATAGCTCTGAACATTAAATAACTGTCTTATCAAGCTCAAGAGTATATAGAACAGTGATAGAAGATATTACATCTCAGTAATTTATACACTCACACTGAAGAATAATAATAATGCAGATATTATAAATTAAGTAGACTTAAATATCTATATATAAGCAAGAATCTTCACTGTCTGAACAGGCTTCTGAGTTTCTGATATCACTCTTGAAGAAGTCACTGATCAATATTAATAAGAAGTATATATTAACTGTAATCAATCAGAGTACATTGTTTTCAACTGCTGATTAATCTATATATCTTCTTAATTAAGAGAAAGATCAGTGTCTTCTTATTTAAAAGATGAATCAGTGTCTATCCATGTCAATCACATTGCAGTGAAGAAAGATTTGAAAGATAACTATAAGAATGTCTCAGTGAAACAGAAAAAAGATTAACTTCTGTTCAAATTCATAAACAGAAGCTTGAAGAGGTCAGACAACAATAATTTGAAGAGAAAATGACAATGAATGTGATTCTTGTATCTACTGTGATTAATAACATATATAATATAAAAGCTATGATAGACAGTGATCTATATTACTATACAATGATAAAATCTTCAGTTGTAAGACATTATAACCTTCTGTGATTCAAAGGTTGCTTAAGCCAGCGTACGATTACAGGCGTACGCCGGCTTCTTATATATTGTAATATCGTACGCTAATTAATTAGTGGCCGCTATGACCCCTCTTTACATTTGTATGCTAGTAGTTCAGAAGCGGCTGTGTTATTATTCAATGATTGTATGTTCTTCTGAATCACATTCTCTCTCACTAGATTCAGTCACACTCATGTGACCATGTTATACACCCTAGCTTCATGCAGATTAGCTCGCCACTAGTGTTTCATGATTATGTAATCTATTCCTGATTTGACTAGTATTCTGTGTACACTCTCACAAAGAAACTTTCACTATATTATATCACTTATTCACTAACTTTTCTCATTCTTCAATTATCATCTTCATCATCATTATTATTGAATGTTATCATCTTATTCAAGATTTCTACTTCTTCTTCTATTTAACTCTTTTCATCTGTTCATCTATCACTTTGTATGCATTTCTGGCAATGACTCTCTGTTCTCATAACAAGTGTCATCATAGTGCTCATACTGAGCAGTTTGTTAGCAGTAAGTGTAATATGTTGTGAAATGTATATGATCAGAACTTGTTTATCTTCTAATAATTACTAGAACATACTATCATGAATGACATATCTTCTTCATCTTCTTATACATCTCTGACTGTTTTCTTCAGTGAGTTTCTGATTGTGTTTTCTGACACAATTTTGCATGAACACAGATGCTGATATTTTTGTTTTTATTTATGTAGAATCTTCACATGTTGACAGATTCACATTTACTGATAATAGTGAACCTGATATTGAATCATTGATCAAGAACTTGAAGAACATGATAATGAAGAAATTGCTTATATCATGTATGACTAAGTCTTCTGTGTTCTCTCTTGCCTCTTCTGCTGCTTCTTTCTCTGCTGCTTCTCTCTCTGTTTCTTTCTCTGTCACTTCTCAATCTTCTACACTTGCCTCTGTGTCTGGTTCTCCTGCTCCTGCTACTCCTGTTTCCATGACCCCTGGTTTTACTGTCTCTGCTTTTGTTATCAGCTCTCCCTGTTTCAAGGAGATGTTGTGTAGACTTAATGAACTATGTTTTTCAGTGTGTATACTCTCACTCTTCTTATCAACTCTCAGAATAATTTATTGTATAAAGACTGTGTATAACACAACTATCTGAAGCTCAGTTACAGACATTAATTATTATATTCATTTTAAATATTTATAATGAGACAATCATTTATTCATATCAGAGAATCACTCTCTCTTTCAATAATATCTAAATTGTAAGTCTTTTCATTTTTCATCTTTTCTTTCTAACACTGATTTTTCTATTCTTAGGAGAAATTGTTATGAGTTTTACTATGTATGAAGTTATGATGTTCACAGATATTAAGAAGCTTTTCATAACTGTAAAGTTTAACATCACAGAGACATCTGCTCTGATGAATTTCTTCAGAATAATAGATCTGTATCAGTCTATTCTCTGATGTCTGTTGTCTGACTTCATAGTGCAGATGAAAGATATCTGTGTTTTCAGAAATAAGAATACAGATATCATACTCTTTTACACCTGCAGATGTGAGACTTATACATCTTGTCTAAAATGTTATTATGAGAATGAGCTGTTCACATGCTGTATTCTGCTTTCTGCATTTCTCTGTGTTCTGCTCTCTCTTTCTGAGAAGCCTTGTGTGTGTTGTAATTATGTGTACAATTCTAAGATTAGCAGATATTTATTCAGTAATTATTATCTCTGTTTTTACAGTTTCATATGCTAATAATAGTTCTTAGTTACTCTGATATCAGAGGTCATTTTAATTGAAGATGATAATACTGCTGAGACTATTCTCTTCTGTCTTTAAGCTTCTCTTATCACTTTCTCTTTCTTCTCTGCAGAGAAGGCTGTGCACACACTGAGTTATAAGTGTTCAGCTCTGAGTGACTTCTGTCATTCATTCAGTTCTGTATCTCTCTTTTCTATTTCTTCTGTCTCTGTTCTCTCTTTCTTGACTTCTGGTTCTGTAAGTCTCATGCTCTTCTTCAATTTCTCTACATATATGTGTACACATTTCTATATTGGCATTTCAGTCAATCTTGTGATAAATGACATTAATGTTATACACAGAGTGATAGAGGAATCAGAGATGTATACAGCATTGTTGCAAGAGCAGCTTGCAGGTCTTGAATCTCTTGCAGATCTCAAGTTTTAAGATTTCCTTTGTTTTTGATGTTTTTCAGATAATGTGACATTGAAAATAGATTAAACATGTGATATATGAAAATGAATGAGATATGTATAATAATATTTATCTTTTACAGCTAACTCTTACAGTTGATGATTAATTTATTATCTCTTTTCTTACACTTTTTCTTTATCTACTAGTCACTACTCTTACATGACCTCTATATAATACAGTGTTCAGTGACTAGATTCAGCAGCTTTCATCTTTTGTGATTCTATTTCATACATTATACTGTCTCTCTTCACTCACTCAGATCACTACAGTGAACAGCTTATTAAAACTAACCTTATCTGATCTCTGAGTGTTTTCAGGAATTGAGATAACTTAATCTCACATATTCACAGATGTTTCAGATAGTTCATTCTCTGTAATCTCTGCAATTGAACTAATATAAACAGTTGAATTCAACTCTGAATTTCTTTTTCTTCTGTAATCTGACTCATGTGTAAGTCTGCTGTTTTGAGACTGCTCTTTGTCATATTGTATCTACTGTCTGCAGTATATTATCATACAATCAGCTACAGTCTCATCACTTATTAAAGTGTGATATTCATCTGATTTCTTCATTTCTTCTCATTCTTTTCTTATAATTGTGAAAAGATTGAAATAAGTGAGATCATCTAATTTATAAGCATCTATGATTTCTCTTACCTTGTAAGACTTTTCAATTATAAGTCTCTTCTTTTTCAACACTAATAATAGTGCTGCAGATGACTATAATTTACTTGAGTCTTATATCTTTACTTTCATAAGTTATGAATTATTAATTAAGTTGTATAAGATCTGTCTCTCTGATTCTTTCAATGTATACATTTTCAGAGAATGTGATTTGAGTAATTTATATGACTCAAATCATCTAGATTGGAACTTCTCAGAACTCTCATTATGTATGAGAACTCACATTCTTATCTTGAGACTCAATTTCTTAACTAGTGAGTCTTGTATTCTTTTCAATTGAATTGCTCAGTTCAGAAGTAACTTATTAGCTTTTACACATGTGTAGCTGATCTCTTTCAATCTTGATTCTGTGTCTGCAACTGTTGTTTCCTCCCTCATCTTTTTCAAAGCATTCTCTGAAATGCGCGGATGCAATTCATACAACAGGTAGAATGATGAATGCTTGATAACTGCATACTGCTGAATTCGCGTGGTTAATAGCACCTGACTGAGATATTCATTTCATAATCTCATAGGCTTGCTCACTAGATATTTCATCAGTATGTTGCTCAAGATTTCATTCAAGCATTTCATCTTCCTGTTCATCTGTGAATAATATAGCATTGTTCTACAATGTCTTGTCTGTAACTGGCTCATGAAATGCCTCACTACTTCTTCTACAAGGTTTGCACTGTTATCAGTTAGAATCTCATGCAGCATTCTATAGTTGACATAGATCTCATTATATAGAAACTTCACTATCATCTTCTCTATCACCTCTGAAACTGCTTTCACAACTGGTCAGTCAGTAGTGTAATCAATAGCAGTGATTATTCATCAATTTTCATTTGATGTTCACAGTAATATGTCTATGAGATTTATCTCTTATCATTCAAATGATTGTATCATACACTTCATCTGATATTGCACTTTCTCACATTCTAATCCTTTCTTAGATTCTTTCACAACCTGATAATTCAGGCACTCATGAGTGTACATCTGAATGTTCTCAGCCATGCTTGACCAGTATGCTCTTGATTTGAGTATACTTATGAGTTCAGAACTTTCTAAGTGACTGAATTCCTTGTGTATATGAGCTATTAAGTTGTGTCTAAATGAAGGTTCTAGATAGGGAGCTTCTGCATATTCTAGATCACAGTAAAGCACAATGTTATTTTTCAATTTCCTCAGCTTGAAGTTTGAAAGCATCTCTTCTATTACTTTCATAAGATACTTATCATCTGACATCTTGTCATTCTTCAAGTAAGAGATCATGATGTTCACTTATTCTGATTTCTTGCATTCTCTCAGTGTGTTTAATACAAACATCTCTTATGCCTGGTTCACAGAACTCTCACTCATGAAATTGAGTCTGTAACTAATTGTATCAGATATCACAGCATTTAATTCTTTTCAGTATTTGATATAAAGATTATACACT